TTTTGCGACGGTGGAAGGAATCCCAAGAAGCAGAGAAGTCTTTCATGGGCAGGCTGCAAAGTTCCCGACAGAGTCTCTCTCTGGTGCTTCTGAACCGCCCTCCTTGGTCCATGTGGCTCCCTGCCCTCGGTTGGGCCTCATCCTTCCAGAATGTATCTTGTCCACTTTGATATTTCCCCTCGTTGGCTTGAAAGTGTCAGCCTTACAGATATTTACCTGCCATTCCTCAGAAAGGACTCACAAAGAGACATGTTAATGAAAATTAATGGCTCATGTCCACAAGAAATAAAGGCTATCTGCTCCAATGGACTGAAAAAAGTACTTGGGAAAGTAGAGTATTGTTTGTCATTCCTACAACTAGGTGTGTACTTGTGGGGGTGGGGTGGGGTAGGGTGGAGCTATTGGGTGGTGCTAACTAGGAGGCCAAGTCCACATCTACCTGTGGTCTGACTTTGCCTGGGCATGGCCAGCCATTCCCACAGCCCTCCCACTGCCTGCCAGACCCAGACAGCCTGCACTGTGTTTTCACCAAAGCTCAGATTCTTCCACTGCCCCCTTTGCAAAGGGCAGGCCTCGGTGTTCAGTAAATGTGCTGTTGTCAGGTAGGAGGGGAGAGACTTCACGAGCCCGGCAGAGTTGTTATGTAACCGCCTAAGGAATTTGTGTGGGCAGCAGGCCCATCGGAGGAGCCTGGCCAGGGTCCAGAGCCCTGATCAACTTGTAAACACTTCTCTGTCTTGCGTGCCTCATCCAGCTGCCCCTGCCTGCTGCGCAAATCCAGCGACCACTTCATTTTGTCTTCATGGCAGTGAGGCTCCGTGGCTCCCCGCCAGGGAACCCACTTAGGAACAGAGGCGATACCTCCCCACGAAGCTGTCATAACAACTTGCACCATCATTTATTATTTCTTTCCTAGAGCACATTGTACAGTCAGGAAAAATGAAATTGTCCTTAAATCCTTCTCCACACTTTGCGTCTATGGAGGGCAGCTTTTTTACATATTCTCCCTCCCACTATATTTTTCTGTGACTTTCTGTGTGTGTGTCTTTCTCTTTGAAATTACCACAAGTCTTAGGGGCTGAGTCTTAATCTAGTCTGTCATCTTAGCACAGTGATTTTAATTAGTTGGTTTTCATTTACACTAATACCTGCTGACTTTTCAGTGGTTTTGGTAATGAATGTAATATTATAACCATCTAAAATTATTTTCATCCCCAAGAGAAATGTGGTTAGTGTTGGTACCAGATGATGTAGGTGTTCTACTTATGAGGATTAGCTATCAAGCTTTCTAAACCTTTTAAATGTGTGGTTATGGCTCTTTCTCTGAGAATACAAATCCTTGAGTCCTGTCTAGACAGCCACCAGAGCCACCAGCAGAGCGGGTTGGAAGGTGTGGTTCTCTTTTTCTGCAGGGATGCACTGAGGTTTCTGCATTGTCTGCTGTCAGCATGGATCACAGGAGTGTCTAGATGACACGTGAAGCTGAATTTGCACGGGGGGCTTCCACTGACAAGGGTTCACTAACCTCTGACCTGGGGGAGGTGCTCTGGGCTGTGTCCTCAGACCTTGACCCTTTGCCCAAAGTGCCTTTTTTCTCTATCATGGTGATTTTGAAATAAAAATACACCCATGTCCTATGGTGATGGCACATGGGTAATTTGGTGATGGGAAGGCCACGGGGATTACAACTGAGATGGAAAAGGGCAAAAAATGGTGTAAAAACAAGCTGTTATATTATTTAAAAAAAAAATACACCATGTCGCCTAAGGATTAGTCTTCTATCAGTTGATTTTGTGCATCAGACTGATGGAGAACTTCTTGAATCAGTTCCTTCACATAGGAAAGCACGCGGTATGCATGGTGAAGACAGTCCTGGGTTTCTGGTTACTTTGAATGTGGAAGCTAGTTGAGAGCACAGCCATGTTTTATGAGGCTATTAGATGATAAGGTTGGGTGAAGATTTTCAGAGAGCGAGAGTACATGCAGACTTCTCACTACGATCGTTATTCCCCCCGGCAACGTTTTTGAGTTCCAAGGTCCTTTCTCTGGAAGCCGTAGCTTCCATTACAATTTACAATTTATAATTTATAACTGCATATAAAAATAACAACCTGTCTTTGGACTTATAGATTGTGTTAATAGATAGTGCTAATCTGATCCTTATAATAAAATTGTGAAGTTGATGTTTTCAAAGCTCATTGTGCATTCAGAGAAAGCCCAGTTTAGACTCAGTAACTTCCCTGAGACCTGAGAACTCCCATGAATTGTGATGTGGCATGCTGCTGCTGTGGCTTTGGTGATAACTTGTGACATGGGATGGCATTCCATGAGATACTGTTTCTTATTTTACTTGCCATACTGCAAGGAGACTGCAGCTCTTTAAATTGTCTCAAATGATGACTGAAAAAAATCTGAAGGTTAAAAATCTGTAGTGAGAGCAAGGTAAATGGAACTGTTATGCCAGAGGGATGACTACAGATGTCAATAATTCTAATCTTTATGGAATTTTACCATTACTTTATGTCCTCAAGGGTGCTCGTATCCAGCAAAATGTGAGTTCTTTTCATTGAGTGTTGAGCATGATACTGATTAGGTTTATTGACTTCATATTAGATATATTGACTTGATGTGCTGGTTAGATTTGTTGACATTATGGACATCCTGGCCCTGTGGAGGGTGCTTGGTGCCCATGGCAGGGCCCTGGGGTGGGTTGATCTCTGGCAGTCGGAGCTGTTGTGCTGGTGGTGGCTGCCCATGCCAGGAGACTCAGGGGACTCTCCATGTCTTTAGGAGATGGTGGAGTCAGCTCCTGAGGGTCAGGAAGACTAGAGGCATGGCGATGATAGCCATGATCATTGCAAGAGAAGGTTAGAGTGAAACAACAAGAAGATACTTATTCTTGAAGGGGCTTCTGATCTCAGCCAGCATGGTTATCAGACTGTCAAGAGAAATCCCTAGGAGTGGGCCACAGCTCTCTGACAGTGGGCTAGCTCTCTCTCCCATTCTGAGCCTGGGGTGAGAGTGGGCAGTCTGAGGAAAGTGATGCTCACCTCTTGCATCCCATTGTATGTGCAGCTGCTGTGCTGAGTGGGGGCTTCTGTGTGATACAGAAGTGGGCAAATGGGGCATCACCAGCTCTTGGGGAAGGTGGGGGCCTGTGGGTCCCTGAGTTAGGAGGAGCTGCTTATCAGGAACCAGCCAGGATGACTTTAGACACAGAGCAGGGGGAAAATGCTCTCTCGACTCTCTAAGAAAGGATGGCGTATTGGTGTGCATTTTGAGCTGCTCTGGGACCACACAGGTGTCTCAGTGTGGCAGAGTGTGCCTTGCTGTTTGCCAGGTCCTCTGACAGGCCATGGTGTCCAGGCTTGGGGTGTGATGGTCTGCAGCCGCCTCTCCCCTGGATGCCAGATCGTTGTGTTCTTTTAACAAGAGCCTGATTGAATCTAGACCTCTAGCCATGCATGGGGAGTAGATGAGCAGGCACCTTGTCATCCTGTAGAGATGGGGGACAAGGGGGGGCTCAGTGCATCCTGGAAGAAGCACTGTGAGTTTGTTCTTTCATTGGGCCCATTTGGGGACAGGTAGGTGATGATCACTTGATGTGAGACAGAAAATTGAGGTATATAT